TGACTACTACCAGTGCTGGGCCTGGGGCTCACTGAGGCCAGCTGCTGTTTTATTAAGAGGGTTTAGGAAGTTGTGAAGCAAGAGCCAAAACCAGCCATTCATATGGAAAAGCAGGGTGGGTGGGCCCCAAAATTGGGTGGGGCAGAGTCTTTGGAGATCTCCAAGGTGGGTCAAACTATGTTAGCCAGGTTGTTGGAGTCTCAGATATGGCACCAACTGACTGGTTTTGTGGGGGAAGGGTTAGGAAAAGGGACAATAACCTCTGCTCACCTTGATGCCAGACATTCCAGATGCTCCCTATATGCCACTGGTGCCTTTCAAACTGCTACCCAGTACTGGAGCTCAGAGGTAGTGAATCTGAATAGGTAAGTCCATGTCTTACAGTCTTTCAAGGCCAGGCAGGTTAACTTGGGATTCAGACAGATGGAAGAAAATTCACAGAGCTGTGGAAATGCCTGACATGCCTTTATTCAAGGGTGGAATGATCCACACACACTGAAAGCAACATGAACTACTAACTCCCTTATATACTAAATGTACACAAAGCCAGCAGGGTACCAAGATATTGTATAACAAGTGTGATTCAGTGCACACGAGCCCATTCAAGGCTATGGGGATACTGTGTATTGTGCCCAGTTTCAAGGCAGTGAAAATGCTGCTTATCTTAGTTGCCCAGACATCTGGGTGAGGAAGCCTGACTGACTCCATTTACCCTAGAGTCTATGTGTGGGTTCTTTAAGAGGAACTGCTTGGGGCTCCAGAAGTCTCTTCCACCAACTCAATCGCTGCTGGTTTTTGTAGCCAGAAGTTATGGGGACTTAACTTCCTAGTAATGGAACCCTGGACTGGGGGGCTTGGTATGGGGCTGAGACTCCTCACTCCTGAGATATCCTTCCTGAATTTTTATCCACCACATGTGTATGTGGACCAGCACATTCTGTGTCTGTGCCCCTGTCACCAATTTGGATGCATGCAACCTCTTTAATTCCATAGTTGTCAGACTGCCATTCAGCTTGGTTTCTGATGGCTCTGGGTAGTGGTTGCTCCATATTTTAATTGTAATGTTGATGTGGTTCTGCAAGATGAGTCATTTCTGCCTATGTTGCTATCTTGACTGGATGTGCAATGTGATTGTATTTTATGTAATCATATTTCATGTGTATTTTTGTCAATATTGACAATACAATGAAGACATAGAGTGTCCTGTGTGTGTGCATGTCCTTGCACATACATGTTGATGGAGTTGGACCATTCTCCTCCATGTCATTGGGCAGGTAGTAATAGTTCTTTAGCAGAAGATTCAGGAACCCAAGAGAGAATCCTACTGAGGCTCACTCACCTGAAGTTGAACAGGACAGACAGAATGTAAGACAGGGACAGGTAAGAGGGAGCCAGCTAACTTCCCCATGGGTAACAATAATCAACTTGAGCAAATGATTTTGGAAAACCCAACCATTTGAAGGCACTGGAGAGCAACCAGAAGCAGGCAGAAACTTGACGGGGTCCAACCTCGTAAAGAACAGGCACATGATCTGTGACTAAGTTGATATGGCTTTCCTTCTTGGGACAGCCTCCATCCATGTGACAAGGGACTCATGTGGCTTGAGCTCAGGCAGAGAGCCAGTCTTTGACTGAAGGTCTCAGACACCAGAGTTTGGCACAGTCAGAGCAGCTGGAAATTGAGGGGAGAAAGCCCAACATGGAGGGAGTCCCAGAGGCAGAGGACCCAAGTCAGTATATAAATTACCCCTGAATATTCAATGTATTGAGACAAAAAAGAAAGCTCTCAACACAAGCTTCTATATCCATTGAAAATGTGCTAGAAAGCTGGAGGCAAAGTAAGCTAACTGCTGTCATCTGTGTCACTCAGCAAGAAGAAACAAGAGTGGGAGGGAGGGTATTGCCTGTTCTTCAGAGGAACAACTCACAAGGGGCTGAGATCGCTTTCACTCCCAGGCGTTGCCAGAACTAACTGCCATACAGCATCTCAACTAAAACGTGTTGTTTTCAGTAGAGCACTCCTCAGTCCACTTGAATTCAGGGGTTCTCCGAGTAATGGAAGAGGGGACAGTGAGCACAGAGACAGCTAGCGAGTCTCTGCCACTCCTGCTGTGTGACTAGAGCTGTGGCCTCCACACAGTGACCATGAGGGGAGACAGTGCTACCACACTGAGGAGGGAGGATCAGCCAGGTGTGAAGAGACTGGGTCTACTTGACATGATGCCCTCTAAGCCAGCACTGCTCAATCTGAATATTGTGGGAGCCACATATGTAATTTTAAATTTCTGTGTGGCCATATTTTACCAGGTATACAGAAATATGCAAAATTATTTTTACATACGCTATATTTAATGCAGCATATCCAAAATATTATCTCAATAGATAATCAACGTAAAGTTGTTAATGAGATTTTACTTTTTTACAGTATAAGTACAATTCTGTACATACACACATCTATTTCCTACTTATGTCCATTGAGAGGGAGTAGAAGCAACAATATCCCTGCAGCAGTCAGCCTACCTGGCACCCAGATCTTGGTCTCTTAAAACTGCTCTCCACTTAAAGGAACCAGAACTACTTGGAGAAATGGCTGGTTACAGAGATGAGGCAGGTAAAGTACAAGATGAGCCTGGAACGTCTTGTTCCAGAAAGCAAGGGAGGTGCTCAGAGGATGAGGGAGACACATTGAAAAGGCACAGGAGCCATCTTGAAAGAGCTCCCATGGGCCTAGTCTAGGGCAATTTGAGCATTAACAGAATTATAGCAAAGAGTGTTAATGTACTGAACAAAATGAGAATTCAGCACTCCATGCTGTTATGAACAGTTGGTAAATACACAGAGGAGGGAGGGGGGCTGAGCTCTTCCTAAGCATGCAATGCCATGGATGACTCTTCCTGGGTGTGTGCTCATCCCATGGCTCTGGTGGTGGCAGTCAGAGTAGCCAGGCCCCCGGCAGCTCCAGGCTGTAGACAGTGGTCACTGTGATTGTGGGGTTGCCTGTGGTCACACTACACCGACTTGGTCTTGTCTGTCACCAGCCAGTCCAGTTGGTCCCCCTCCTCCAGTGCCTCTCCTCTCTGCCAGAAGCTTCAAGTGAGACTAAGAGAAATACTTTAAGGAAACAGAACCAAACTGTACATGATACATCTACTTGTTAAATGACCAGCAGAGAAGACGGTTCATGAAAGACTGGCCCAGCATTTTGAATGCATGCCTGCTGCCCTTCTCTGGCCACTGCCAGCCTGAGGGCCAGTGTCTCTTCCTTTGTACCATCCTCATGTGAGCAAAGTGCTGGGCTCTGCTCGGGACTAGAAGCAGACAGATGGCACCAGAGGGCCACAGCTAGTGACCAACTGTGTAAAGCCCTGAGGCAAGAATAGGACAGCATTTCCTGGGAACATTTTGGCCATGACTATGAACAAGAACAACCATGGCCTCTGGGAAGGACCTGCTGATGTCTCCAGTCCCAGTGGCCACAGGGCTGGAAGCAGGTTGGGTTCTCTCCACCCCTGCAGCTGTTGCCATTGGGGATTTGTAGCCCGCAACGAACTGGATTCAGTCAACAACCACTTGAGGGGGTTTAGAAGCACATTCGCCTGCAAAGAGCCTAAGACCTTTTCAGCCTCGCAAATGCCTGCATTGCAGCCTGTGAGACTCAGTCAGAGGGTGCAGGTAAACCAGGCTCAGATTGCCACCCCACAGAAACTGTGGCATGATGTGGTTTGTTTACACATGAGGGATTATAACACTTTGTTGTGAAGCAATTGCTAACTAATACAAAGAACATACAGATGAAAAAGGCTAGAATGTCAACGAATCAATGTAAAAAGAATGATGAAATCATTTGGGAACTGACAAACACCATCAATGCTTGCTAAAATGATTGGCTCAAAGTTTGAGGAATAGCAGGTATTTGCATAGTCTCAAAGACTCTCTGGATCCTTATTATGAAGAGAAAAATAATGATTTTGTGTGGCACAAAAATTATTATTTGTGGCATGTGGACTGTAGTAAATAACACAGTTTTAAATGCACCTTGCTGTCTAGACTTCCCATGATGCACAATGATAAACGTCACTATTAAGGCATGTTTATTGCATGTTATTTTCCTCATAACAGAATGCATCTAAGTGATCCATTCACATACCCTCCAAGTGAGCACACGCAAACCCACTCACGCGCATATGGGGGAAGGACAGAACCCAACCCCATCCCAGGAACCTGTGACTATCCCATGTGATGTGGCAAGGGGACTTTGCAGATGTAACTAACCCTTAGAGATGCCAAAATAGAGAGATTGTCCTGGTTTACCCAGCAGGCCTCCTCCAAACACATGAGTCCTGACAAGCAGCAGGCTTTCTCCACCTGGAGGCAGAAGGGAGAGGGGGCAGGAGGGGAAGGCAGAGGGATTCCCAGCACGAGAAGGCGCTGACACACTGCTGCCAGCCTTGAGATGTGGGTCCATCAGCAAGCACCAGAGAGAGGCTGGCAGAGCTGAGAAGGAGCCCTGCGTCCAGCAGGAAACGGGGACCTCAGGGTGACAACAGCCAGGGACAGAGTCCTGCCAACAGTTTGCCTCAGCTGCAGGCGCACTGTCTGCAGGCCTCGCTGCAAGAACCCCACTGGCCACACGTGGATTTCAGCCCTGAGGGGCCCAGGTCAGAGACACAGGCAGAGCCCACCTGGAGCTCGGCCCCGGGAGCTGTGAGATAATAAACTTGGGCTGTTTTCAGAGGCGGGGTTGGGGTGCCTTGTTCCAGCAGCAAGAGAAAACTAGTCCTCACACAGATGCAGATTCACAGCACAGGAAGCATGTCCTTCTTATCATTTATTTGAAATATCCTTACAAAAAGTAGAAAAATAAATATTTTATCAAGTCTGAGTTTTCAAATTCACACACACAAGTACATAAATAGTGGGTGGCTGGCAATAATTTAAGAACAGTGGCACGTGCACAGATAAACTCTCCTGATGGGGCAGGTGGCGGGTGGGCCTTGGGGTCAGACACACAGGTCTCCACTGGCGACACAGTTCAGGTCACGGGCCAGGAGGCGGAACAGGTTGAATGTCACAGAGGCTTCAAGACAGCCAGGGGACACCTGTGGGGAAGACAGGATGGGCCAGTGACTATCCATGATCTGGGTCCCAGTTGTCCCCAGACACTGGTCACTCCCTTGTCACTCACCCTCTTTGAAGCCACCTGGAGGCGGCGCAGCCAGCGGCGGAGGTGGCCCCGGGGCCTGGGGCCTGCTGTGGCCTGAGCTGGGACCTGTGGGCAGAGGAGGTGGCGTGTGAGGCAGGGCCTGGGACAGGGGTGAACCTATGGGGGTCAGGGGGAGTCAGAGCCCACAGACGTGGCCCAGGGGCCCAGAGCACTCACACAGGCCTGAAGCTTGGTGTGGATGTAGCGCAGAGTGTGAAGGGGCTGCTCCAGGATGTCCCCCAGGGTGGAGTTAGCCATGGTCCCCAGGACCTTCAGTGTGAGGGCCAGCTCAGCCTCCAAGGCCACAGGGCGCTCCCACACCTGAGGAGGGCAGAGACAGGTGAGAGCTGCAGGTGAGAAAGAAACAGGTGAGGAGGACTGAGGAAAGAACATTAAAGGTATAAGGTCAGGACAGGTGAGAGGACACAGCCAGTGTGGGCTGATGAGAATAGATGGGGACAAGTGAGAAAAAGAGGTGAAGGGGCTGACCTCACTCTGTCAACTCACCTGCAGCTGCCTCAGGTCCCGGGTCCTGGGGAATGGGTAGGAGCTGCAGCTCCAGTTCTTCAGCAGGAGTGACTCCTCCTGGAGAGCAAGGGCAGGGTCAGTGCACAGCTGGAGGGCTGAGGTTAGACCCCTGCAGTGGGATTGGAGGGAGACTACGACATGAGGAGGGAGGCTAACTTCCAAAAGCAGGGTGGAGGTGTCTCCACTGCAGAAGAACAGGAGTCAGCCCAATGCAGCAACAGCAGGAGTCAGCCCACTGTGCCAAAGTGCAGGGCAGACTGGGGCAGGGGCAGGGGACAGGTCCACCCTGAGCCACAGGGTGCATGGGAACCCCCAGAGAAATGGTGGGGGTTGGCCCACAGCAGGTGGGGCAGTGGGGAGACTCACCAAGGCGTCCTTGGCCCTCCTGAAGGCCTTCATGTCTTGTGGGGGCAGAAACTTGAACTGGGCCATGGGGCAGCCCCTTGCACCCGGGAGGGCACTGAGGGGCGTGGGGACCGGAACTGTTCCTGTCCTTGTCAGCACCGTGGTCATCAGCATGAGCACCAGCATGCAACCCACAGGCAAGCCTGTGTTACAGAAGGACAGACAGATGAGGGCACGGACAGTGTCAGGGGCTGAGGGTGGAGGCTGTGGGGAGGTGGGGGTCTTGGGCAATGATGTGGGGGCTCACCCAGCTGCATCCTCATCTCTGTCTCTGGTGTCTGTCAGCAGAGGGGGACCCAAGTGTCCACTGAGAGGCTATCACCAGGGTCTCTCACTCAGCCTTGTTTTGTGTCTGTGACCTCAGTCTCCTCTGACAGGTCTGAGTCTGCTGCTCTGTCTGCGTCTCTGCACCTCCAGCTCTGCTCGGATGGAACAGCTACCTGAGCTCCATGGTAGAGCTTTTAGCCTGGAGATATGGGTAACCCCGGCTGATGTAGGAAAAGTGAAAACACTGGCCCCTAGGGGAGGCCCCAGGCTGGGGAAGCCCATGCAGGGCGGGGCCTTGAGCCAGGTGAGCAGCTGGAGGGAAAGAGAAACTGACCCAGATTGAGGTTCACCTACAGGAGGTGAGGTCCTAAGATGAGTTTCAGTCCCACAAAGGGTGGCCATGGTGCTCTGATGATGTGGGAACAAAGGGACTTGTCTTTGTGCACGAAACCACATTCCAGTGAGGGGAGGACAATGGCACCTCTAAGGGTGTTGTCACCAAGACCCTTGAACTTCCAGATAGGTTACTCCCGCGAGGGGTGAAGATAGAGGGGAAAGGCTGCTGGCGGGTGCAGGGAGTCGGAAAGGCAAAGCGGCCCGGAGTTCAGAGAGGAGACCAGCTCTTCCCTCCCTTCCGCACTTGGTCCTGAGAGAGAGAGAATGTGGAGAAGGGGAGTCTCACTAACATCTTAATTGTCCAGACTGAGGGACACAGAAATGGGAGCCTCTCTAAGAAATTGGGGTGTGGCCACGGACTTCAGGGAACTAGCTTAGTCTGTGACAAACACCTTCATTCATTCACCAAGTATACAGCCTCCACTTTGTGTCAGGCATGGTGCCAGGTGCCTGGCATCTGGCACCGAATAAAAGGAAACCCACAAGACCACCCTTGGAGGAACTTTTTCTAGAGAGGACTGACAGGGAACAGGGGAAAGTGGGTTAGGCACAGGTGGACATTACATCAAGGAACAGAAAATGGAAGAAGGGAGGTGGCAGGGTGTAAGAGGTGGTTGCACTGAATGAGGCAGCCTGAGAAATCACATTTGAATGCATACTTAAGTGAGCAAGGCGGTTATGTGGAGATTGATAGGGGAGCAGTCAGTACTAAAGGAAAACAGAGGCACCCCACTTTGTCAAGTACTTTATATGCTCCCTTATCACTAAGGCTTTGCCACTTATAGTATTAAACCCATGGTGAAATCAAGGACATACAGTAGTTTTATTACATTTTAAATATGGAGTCACAAACTTAGTGATGTGATCTATTCTAAAAACAAAGTCACTTGAAACAATGAATAAGCAAATATGCAGGAAACTGCAGGGACTTAGAGATGACAAGAGACCTGCCCAAGATCACGCAGCAAATACGTGGCAAGTGCAGCTCTTCACCACGTTCCGTCTCGCACTCCAGCTTCTGTGCAGCTAGACCTGGACACAGACACAGTGAACTTGTAGCACAGAGGTGCTTCTTGACACCGGAATCCCACACCAACCCCCTGTTTCCATTATTCAAAGTTCCAGGGAGAGAGTGGACAGACCCTCAGTTGAGAGAATCAAGCTCTGATAAACAAAAGTGTTTCAAAGCCAAGGACAGGGCAGTGCCCCAGTCACCTTCCAGGGCACTGGTCAGTTTCTGTCAATTGCAGTGGCCTTAACCCCGGGCAGGAGATATTGCATTAGCAGTGAATTCTGAAAAAGGACAAAGGATGTCAAAATTCCTAAATTCATACATTTTTGTTCGAAAGGAAGTTCCATGAGGTGGTTGAAAGTATAGGAATCAAATCTGGATGTGACCTTCATTAGCTGTGTGACCCTCCCAGCTGGGCAACCTTGGCAAAGAGGCCTGCAGTTAGCAACCATGATCGCCAGCCCACTGACTTGGACACATGAAAAGTGCAATTGCCTGTGTATGTACTTGTGTGGTCACCTAGTAGAGACCATTAGTGAAGACCATCCTATGGCCTCAGCTGGAAGCTTTAGAAACACTACTCCAATGTGCATTACTCATTTGCAAGAAAAGGACAAGAATGACATCATGTGGATGAGGAAACTGAGGCTCAGAGAGAAGTGATTACCCAGTAACACCATGACTAAGAGGGTGACTCAGAATTGAAACTGATGTCACCTGCTTTCCCTGGCTCAGCATTTTGAACTGAAAAGTGCCCCCCAAAATGATCACAGGGGATCAACCAATATAAATGCAAGTATATTTAATAATGGCAATACATTACCACCAGAAGACAGAATAGCAAATTACATAGGGATTTCACAAACAATGTCACGTGGGTAACAGAATCCAAAATACTCCAGTCAGCTGAGGACTGTGGGCCCTTCCACTGCCAGACCCCTTAGGGGATGAGGCCTCCCCAGGGGGGAGATCAGAGTCACAGATTCACAGAATCTCAAAGAGGACAGGAAAGGTTAAAATCCACGTGTGGGGCTTGTCATGGGAGACGGTGTTCTGGGCTTCTGTAACCAGGAAGCAGAAATGGTCCAAGGTGCTCGGGGTCAGCGATCCATGATAGTAACCCAGGACTTAAGTCTCTTGGTGCCAGACGAGGCCCCTGGAAGACCTTAAAGGAAAGCATCCCATGAAAACGTCCTTGCTTTCGAGAGACGCGTTTTAATCCTTGGAAAAGTACCCGCCCCTCCTGGTGTGCCCAGCACAGGGTATGGAGGTCAGGCAAGCAGCCGCAGAGTTCCCTGAACTTCAGCATCCCCCGGATGAGATGAGCCTCGACGAAAAGGCAACACAGCGGAATTTGCAGCCATCCGCCTGCAGAGCCACGGATCCCCACCGAGAGCCGTTGAGGGTCAGAGACGAGATGAGTGTGCCACCAGCCCCAGGTCCCACGTGATCAGGAGCAGAGGTTGAAGATGACCTCTAGCGAGGCCGAGGCAGGAGTTTCCTTCCGAGAAACCGCCCTCCCTCGTCATCAATCGAATGTGTGTGTGTGTGGGGGGGGGGGGGGGGGGCGGAGCTCCAATTCCCTCGCGTCACGGGCTTCACCGCTGGCTCCATTCTTAGCTCTCGGTGTTTGGGGACACCTCCCAGGTGGCCAGAGGGACTTCCTCGAGGAAACCGACCTCGAGGAAATTGGCCACACCAGCTGGAGCTGGAAGGGAACAGGAGATACCTGAAGGAGTCGAAGGACGGAGTCTCCTACTGCGAACCTCGCAGCCCCAGAACAAAGCGCAGATCTGGGGACGCCGAGGGGACGCGAATCGAGTCTGGACAGATCGAGAACCCCTCGTCCTAGCTGTGGGGCCGCTGAGCCCGGAGCCAGCTGGTAGGGGGTGGAGGGACCTACCACGTCCCTGACAGCAGCTCTGGGTTCGGGCGACGATGGGAAACAACTCGGGGCTGGGGAGGCTGCTCCACAGCGCCTGGGGGCAGGAGAGTCCGCGGACACCGCGCACCACTGCAGGGACACACCACTGCAGGGACCCGCGGAGTGAGAGACCGCTGCGGCGCACTGGGCCTCCGCCCTCTCCTACCTCCTCCCGCATCCCCGCCAACCCGCAGGCCTACGCAGGTCCCTGGGGGATCCCTCCCTGGGCGGAAGGAGCAGTTGCGTGACCTCCAGCTCAGTCTCTTCCTCCTGGGGTGGAAAAGACAAGGGAGGGGTGAGGGTGGGCCTCTTCACCAGGGCCCCCGAATCGCTGCAATGTTGGGGATTCCTGGACCTGGACTGGGACTGGGCAGCACGGTCCTGCGTATTGTGCACTCAGCAGCTCTTCCAGGGCGTGAACGCGGACTGAAATACACCCCTGGCGGAGCCCGACACCCCAACGTGACCGAGGACACCTAGAGGGGGCGCCCTTTTGTGACTGGCATGAAGGCACTTTCTGTGATTAGGATGCTGAGGTCAGCGAAGGTCTCCTGGTCGGAATTCTGAACCCTCGACTGAAAAAGCCTGCTGGGGGCTACGATGCTAGGGCCTCTCGAGGCAGGGATCTCATTGAATTCTCAAAGAAGGACACTGCAAGGGGTGTCCTACTAATGATCCCACTTCATAGATGGGAAAACTGAGAGATGGTAAAATGAAGGAACTTTTCCAAATACACAATTAGTGTCAGCAGCAGGATTGAACCTACATGCTGTCGAGCTTCAAAGCTTGTTCTCTATGCTGAGAGTTCACCCCTAAATATCTGATTCAGTCTTCTCTCTCCATCTTAATTTCATCCCATTTCTCTTCTTCCCTCTGTACACGCCACTTGTTTTGTTTCTTTCTTGTCTCTGTCTCTGCTTTGTCCAAGTCCATCTGTGTCTCATCCCTTTTTCTAGCCAATAGCCAGACCATGGTCTCCCTGTCTCTCTGTTAGTCAGTCTCAATTTATCTCTTGTTTTTGTTTTAAAGTGAAATCTACTCTTTCCTTCTATGATAAAGTTAATAATGCAGGCTCATGACTAAAGCTTAAAAAATGCAGAAATGCATAAAAAGAGACAAAAACCCACTTACAACTTCATCCACCTCTCTCCTTTCACCCCACATCTGGAACAATTTTACCAATGTGTTGAAATTATACATGTGTGTATAGATAATTTGTGACATAGTAGCACATTCATTTGAAAGATTTAGTCCATACGAAAGAAAACATACACGTTGGAGAACTAAAGGAATCTTTCAATCCCACTTCCTGGAAGTAATTCTTTTTAACAGTTAGTAGCTATTAGTCCTCTTCCTGCCCCTCCACCCCACTTTTTATGAGTGATTTCTCCTCAATGGAACCGGCTGTGTAAAGATTGGTAGCCTGCTTTATGTGTCTTACCATGACCTCTCATTTGCATCTCCCCACATCTTTGTACTGCATCAGTTAGGGCCCTCGCAGGAGACAGAAGGCCCAATCAATTTAGGGTAACTTGAAGTCGATTTCATACCAGGAGAGTTTACAAAGGGGTTTGAGAGTGAGGTGGGGGGTTGTACAAGGGCTTGGGTCCTTCCTGGGGGAGGGTCTGCCACCCTTAGGCCTGGAGGAAGGGGATCAGGGAAGG